TAGTTTTTGGCGCTGGCGCCAAACTGGCTTTGGCGCCGCTTTGGCGCCAATTGGCGCCAAGGGTGTTTTCACCAAATTCGCTGTAAACTTAGTGGTTAGGGGTTGTCGAGGCTCCTGATCACGAATTTAACCTTAGTTTTTGGCGCTGGCGCCAAATTAGCGCTCTTTGGCGCCATTTGGCGCCAATTGGTGCCAAGGGTGTTTTCACCAAATTCGCTGTAAACTTGTGATAGGGGTTATCGAGGCTCCTGATCACGAATATGACCTTAGTTTTTGGCGCTGGCGCCAAATTGGCGCCATTTGGCGCCATTTGGCGCCAATTGGTGCCAAGGGTGTTTTCACCAAATTCGCTGTAAACTTGTGGATAGGGGTTATCGAGGCTCCTGATCACGAATTTAACCTTAGTTTTTGGCGCTGGCGCCAAATTAGCGCTCTTTGGCGCCATTTGGCGCCAATTGGCGCCAAGGGTGTTTTCACCAATTTCGCCAAATGGCGCCAATTTGGCGCCAGCGTCAAAAACTAAGGTTATATTCGTGATCAGGAGCCTCGATAACCCCCCTAGCGCAAGTTTCAGAAAACGAAAAAGGAAAAAAAACTTCCAATTTGCTCGATAGGTGTGAGAAGTGGAATGAGCAACAGATAGTAAAGAATAAGTTAAAGGAATCCCAGCTTGAACCACTAGGAGAAGAAGGAACTCAATCAGACGTCGAGCCGAGTGCAAAGTATGCGGCTGCGGCGGGCGCGCATGTCACGTCAGGGTTACGGTAGCCCATCGGCTGGGAACGCGGATAAATCTTGGAACGATTCCGTCGACGTGAATTAAAACGTCCTGTCCGCAAATGCACCACGGCATCCTATCTCACAGTCGAACATGCGCAGGCTGTTCAAAGAACTTCTGTTCAGTGTCCATTTTTACGGCGATAACACACTAGAGAACCCAGTAGAATACCAGGACTCGCTCGGAGGGGCTACCATGTAACATCGCGTCAAGATCACGGAGAAGCACAGTTTCAGGACTAAGCCTTTGAATAGGGGAGGCACTCTGGTGTCCAGAAGCACTTTTCGTATTCTCTGGAGTTCGTCCCTGCTGCCTAGGCTTAGTCCTAGAGGCCTTTCCAGATTGCCCCCCCCCTTCCCGCTCGAGCCACATTGCGCTCACCAGGAAAACTCTCCCCTTGGATGATAGCACACTCCGCAATCAAGTGCCTTTCTAAGGATCTAAGTAAAACGGCAGCTTGACTCTTCCGGGTTTTGACAGATTCTGAACCGCTCAATAAGACACTACCTTTCACTTATTTGGACAAATTCACTAAAGCATTGAGAGAAGGAGGAATTGTGAAGCAGGGGTTGGGAAGACGGAAAAGCGAACGACAGCAGTCAATGAAATGTGTAAAAGAATTATTTTTCACGTTATGCAAACAAGGCTTTTCAAAAACGCTTTCATCTGTGGCCAATAAAAAACTCTTGTAGAGTACTGACGATTAATACTTGTTACTTCTCCTAATTGAAGGAACATGTATTTTTAATGTTGTTGGCAAAACGACGCCATGACTAGTAGCGGAATGAAAGAAAACAACCGAGACGCACTCTGAAGCTTGGCAGTCCAGAAAGGCAGAAGATTAATCTGATCTATAATCTCGCCGTATTCAACATCATCCTCATTAACCATTAACAAATCGATGTCTAAAACTACTGATGCTTCTTCTTGTTCCTGTTCTTCACTATCGGACTTCTGCGATGATGCTGACAGTCTTCTGCTTTTAGCGCTCATACTGGTGAACGAAGAGGACCAGATTTTCTGAACGATTCGTGACGGTTTTCTCCCGTACTGTAGTTCTTCCCGCTGATCTGGAAAAACCATCAGAACAGTGTCAATCCAGGCGCAGGCTTGAGGGGGGGGGGGCGTTGCTGCAGCAGGAAATTCGTGAGTCAGGGGGAATGTAAGCCTTCCCGTAACCAATTCAGGGGGTCAGAGGTGAGGGTAGTCACTTAACATGCGTGAAAAGCTGGAATGTTCCGTGAGAAGCTGGAATGTTCGAGTTTACAATACTTCGCCAAGACGCCCCCCCCCCTCACCTCTCCCGAGCCACATTGCGCCGTCGATCTATTACATTCAATTACACCAAAAGCACACTTCCATTGAACGACAACGGTACAGAATTCTGAACAGCCCTCGCATGTTCGAGCGTGGGATAGGATGCTCGTGGTGCACTTGCAGACAGAACTTTTATTTCACGTCGACGGAATCGTTCCAAGATTTATCCGCGTTCGTCGCTGGTGCTGAGTTCAAGATTCGTTTTTGTCTGTTGTGAGAATCTCGATTCACTTATAATTCAGCTGGGGAAACCTCGGGTGCACTGACCTTCAGCGATGGACCTGAGGCTCCCGCAGCGGAAATGTTTCGCGCTGCGAAACGCGAAAAAGCCGCTTCCTGTTCCTAGTGAACCACACCCCGCTTTTTTGATGCCCAGTTTTGATGTCCCCCATTAAAGACACGAGCGACAGAACCCAAATTGAAGTAAAGATTTGTGCCAACTAACGCGCGCAAGCTGGAATAACTTGCTCGAATGCGGAAGCCGCGACGCTGCCGCTCAATTGCCTCCAGCGGGCGCGTTTTGTAATACGCGGTAGTCTTAGTTTTTTGCAAACTTATATTACTAATTGTGTTTATTGCGTGGGTATTTATTCCCTTCAGATATGAATGAAATAGGGCTGGGCGTTCTTCCAACAAGGATTGGGGAGGAGTACATTTTGTGCAGTAGTTTGTGCGGATCACCGAAATTCATCTATGAAGCCAGGACTGTCGCCTAAATCTACACCCTGAAAAATGCCGGACGAGTTTTCCTGGCATGCTGCCCACTTTTGAACCTACTTCGTTACGGGACCATGCTCCTCTCTTTACCATCAATTGATTCTGGCACTTCCTTAGACATTGTTAGAAGGTATTCAAAGGGTAGGCTTTCAGTGCGGTTAGGAGTGAGTCAACCAAAGAGAAAAGCGTTCATACCGAATCGAGCATTTAGCACTTACCACTAGATACATGTTTGGCCTTGTTCAAAGAGTTCAGCCCATGCATAGGTCAGATTTTGACTCCGTCATTTCGGTTACGGTTCGTGGCGCGATGTGCCTGTGGGGGGAGGGGTAGTCTGTCGGAAGGAGTAGGACTAACGCATAGGGACGAATTTCGAAGCGAAGCGATTGAAAATTGCTTACGCAGCGAAGTTGCTTACGCAGCAAAAAATTCCTCCTCTCCTACAAAGCTTAGCCCCAAAACTGAGCAAATCCGTGAATTTGACGCCAAGTTTTCGGCTGCCCCCCCCCCCCCCTCCCCGGAGCCACATTGCCCGGTTCATTTATGACTCGACCATTTGGACAAGATGATTATCAAATGCTCCGTAATCACATTCTCGGCAAAGTGATTTCCTATGTGGAACAAAAGCAACCCTTGTAGAAAAAGTGTCCTTACTTCCGTGAATCGTCGTCGACGCTGATCAGTGGAGTCATTCGTTGTTGATGCCGCGATTAAGCCTACTACATTCCCTTTTGGTTCATTTAGAAGTGAGCTCCGAGCTGTTCGCAATCGTTACTTCATCATACAATATGTGCGTCACATGAAAAAAGGACTTCGTAACAGTCACAAATGGCTTGGTGGGACCCAATAGTTGACATTAACCTGACTACTCACACGACTTTGCCTCACTTTGAGACTGAACGGTTAGAAACAATCCTTCCATATCTCCAGCCTAAAACTGCAGCCCGAAGAAGCGCAAAACCAAATGATGTTCAAGGGTGGATGCAGCATGGTCCCACAACGAACTAATTCAAACAGTGGGCAGCTTGCCAAAAAACTCGTCCTGCATTTTTTCAGGGTGTAGGTTTAGGCGACAGTGAAGCCAGATGTGCTACAAACTTCATACCGCCATATCTTCGATATTTTATGTACGGCAGTTGGTAACGGGTGGTGTGAGCTTGAGCCAAGGATGCGAAAGGGAAGTAACTCTCAGATGGGTGAGCGAAATTCCTTGTGGAGTGTGCTGTGTGCTTTTCTCATTTGAAGTTGTTCACGACCAGCAAGCTCGTTCCATTTCCTTGACCTACGTTAGGTATAAATCCTCTCAATTTGAATCGTTTTTTTAGGTTTGAGCTTAAGTTTATCACGTGTCAAAGAACAGTAGAGTAGCTCGCATACAAACTAGTGTGTTTAACTCCCCTGCCCTTGGTTGAACAGTACAGATCCTTCGATAGAGAGGATTGGGATGGATGTATTGTTTCTAATCTAGAAACGGGGCTTTATTACTTTCTTTAACAGATGGCTGCAGTAAGTAGACGATCCAAAGATGGAAGCATGCTAGACTCTTTCACCTTTGCAACGCCTGCGGATCGAGTGGAGCTACCGCGGATCCGGAAAGACTTTTCCCAGCAAACTTTTGCCAAATTAAGAAAGGTGAGTAGTGTTTGAAGTCTCTGGTGTTGATTAGCTTGTTGATGTCTCAAACGCATCTTCTTTAAGGTTGCCTACCTTCCCCATAGTGATCGTATTATCTGGCTCGGATACTCTGAGGGACGTTGCGTAACTCTGTGGAAGAGAAGCGATGAGGTTTCCGAAGTCGTGGAGCCATTCGACGAACTTTTCAGATTGGATCTCGATGTGGATCCCTCCGATATATGGTCAGTATCGCACTACATTTTCTCGTTTATCCTAGTTCCTTTCTGCTGCGTAGTTCTTTGTCAGTCATAACCTTAGCCTTTAATGATTGTAGTTCGCTTTCTTCTGAGGTTACCTGTGCGTCACTCTCTGATGGGCGTATATTAGTTCTCAACAATAAAGATGACCAACTAAAAAAGGTAAGGTTTCCATCATTTGTATTTTCATTATGTACATTCAAAACGACACAGGTAAATCGATTCTTCTTTGAATTCTTTTGTTAAGGTCAGCGAGTTTTCTAACGTCCATGGCAAAGGAAATTCTCGAGTTCTTTGTGAATTTGACAACAATGATATTATTAGGTGAGGATTTTCACGTTCGCACTGTTGTCTATTCCATTAATCAACTGATTTGTATAGTAATTATTGTTTCAGTGGATCGTCCAACGGGTCTCTTGTTAAGGTGGACATTGAGACCGGGAATATCACCGTTATCTCAAAGGTATTTGCTGCTTTTCGGATTTTTTGTACAGTTCCTTAACCCTTTGACGACAATGCGGATTTGCACGTAGCTTGCTCATGGGACCACGCCTGTTTTTGGCGCGCCCAACTCTCGCTCACAATTAGGCAAAATTGTCCTTTAAAGCAATTTTTCTGTAGAATTTTGACTCTAACAGTATACCAGTTATAACTGCAGTTCTAGGCTTTCATACTGTAAATTTTTTCAAGAGAATTCCAAATTTGGACGGGGAACTCGCGTTTCAAAGGGAAGGAGGGCAAAACCTCTAAAAGTTTAAGTGTCCAAGAGAATTTCCGGTACACTTCAAACCCCTTCCCATATCTGAGGGCTATGAGAAGACGAAGAAGTCCTGATTAGTAATTAATCTTCGGCCTAATAATTTAAAACCCCAATTAATATGGTGGCGAGCTAAATGGCACATTCTAAAATTCTATATAAATTAGCTCTTAGTAAACATTTCTGTAAGTCGTGCTAGCCATAGATATTATGGAACTTGCTTATAATTATTGGGGTGTTACAAATGTTTTAAATGCACAAAGTCACGAAACGAAGGTGGCACCCACCAACCTAGTGGGTGCCACTGTTGTCAAAGGGTTAACATCCCGTTTGTGTCTCACCAGCGTGATCGTTCTTATGAAGGGAACCCACAATATTGGCATCGTTATAAGCAAATCATTTCAGAATGCTATTTTTGTAATGCAAATTCCATTGAAAAAGGGAATTCATGTCCGTCCCCCCATTCCTGAAATCATTTGGCTGAAAACGAATCCAGCGTTTCTGACGTTTGGCCGTATTTTTCCACAGACTTTTTGCATGCTCGTCACTTGGTATCCCTGCTTCCATTTCTTGTCGACATAAGTTATCGCGATTTGTGCCTTTAACCTTCTGGAAGAACGAACAGTTTGAACAACCACCGAAATGTTGCAGGGAATTTGGAAAACCTCATGAAGTTTCGAGTCTGTTTGGAGTAAATGTTTTGGGGTTCTATATACTAATTGAGCATTTCGGTGATAATAAGGCTTGATCGCAGTATCATGCAATTATATATTTACCATTAGATGCCCGTATACATTTTATTTAGGGAAATTCTGGTGTACGCTCAGTTTGCACTCTTTCTGGCGGTGCACTTCTTGCTTCCGGTCATTCTGCTGGTCACGTTTTGATATGGGACTGCAGAGTAAAGCCAACGAAACCATGTATAGTATGTGTACCATCAAAACGACGACTTGATGCAGTCACAACCCTCACGAACCATCCTGCTCAAGCAAGCTTGGTGAGGTATAATTTACTTCGCATCCACGATTTCAGTGCTTCTGCTGCTGCTTCTTTTTCGCATTCTCATCCACCCTGGATTGTTTCCTCTCCTTGCCTTTGTTGGGTTTCTTCAAGGCGATATGGTGTCTCGCGAAACATGCTCCTCACCCGACGCGCTTATAGTGCTCTTTCGGAGCTGGGTTGCCCATAATTGCCTATTTTTCCCCCACATAATTTTTACTGCTATTGGCCGATGTCAGAGTCTGCGATTGGAGCGATCGGTCAAATGTGAATCGCGCGACCATCGCGCGATTGGCACATTTCTCCCATCATGACCAATCGCTCCAATCGCGCGATGGGCGCGATCACTCCCGTTGTGGCAGGGAGCGATCAATGGCCGATGTCAGAGTCTGCGATTGGAGCGATCGGTCAAATGCCAATCGCGCGACCATCGCGCGATTCGCGCGACGATCGCGCGATTGACATGAGTCCCATCATGACCAATCGCTCCAATCGCGCGATGGGCGCGATCACTCCCGTTGTGGCTGGCGCGCCCCTCTCGATCGATACGTTGACTGACGTATCGATCGAGAGGGGCGCGCCAGCCACAACGGGAGTGATCGCGCCCATCGCGCGATTGGAGCGATTGGTCATGATGGAGACTCATGTCAATCGCGCGATCGTCGCGCGAATCGCGCGATGGTCGCGCGATTGGCATTTGACCGATCGCTCCAATCGCAGACTCTGACATCGGCCAATGGCGCGCCCCCCTCGATCGATACGTTGACTGCGGAGCTGCGCTCCCTGCCACAACGGGAGTGATCGCGCCCATCGCGCGATTGGAGCGATTGGTCATGATGGGAGAAATGTGCCAATCGCGACCAATCGCGCGAATCGCGCGATGGTCGCGCGATTCGGCCATTCCTGAATCGCGATTCGGCAGACTCTGACATCGGCCATTCCTCCCTAACCTGTGTCGTCGTTTATCGCCGAATTGCGGAATCTTCTTCTGAGCGTGAAGTTAAGAGCGAACGTCGTCGTTTTTGATATGACAACTTTTAGTTATCTTTCGGAACCGATCTTGGTACCGTTGGATTTTGCGATGTGAGAGGCGTTGCACATGATTTGGTCACAAATTCGTTTGACGTCGCCACGACGACAGTTACACAGGTCTCGTTGGTGTAACCAGATTAAGATCATGTCCCAATTTTGTAAATTTGAACATTTCGCCAGGTCTCTTTCCATCCAGAATGTGGTGACCACCTTGTATGTGCATCAGCAGATGGGAGTTTAGTACACTGGGATGTTTCTTCCGTCATTCACGTAAGTCCTTCAATATCGTTTTTTCTTTTGCGATTCGTGGCTTCTGTTGCCGTTCGCTACGAAATGTTTCCTTGCTGCATAGATACAATACTCACGTAGTTTATCCTTCCTGTGCTTTGACATTTTTAATACATTTAAACACACACACGGGTTTTTGGTTTAGTCGCGTGGGACGAGCGCGATTCTGGGAGCGTCATCCCACAGTTTCGTTCAGCAAATAAACAAAAACATGAATATCACAAAGTAATTACAGCGATGGTCGTCCCCTTGATTCGTAAAAGTGATAAAAGGGTGTCATTTTGGTCTCCAATTTAGACGTGTAACTTAATGAAAATGCAATTAATCATTTCTTGCAGTGGACATAAAAAGGCATTTTTGCCTTGATCGTTCCAGCATAAACACTTACCTCTCTATTTCTATTTTGAATTTACTTCTGGGGCCGTAAGGTATGCTTCCCCGAAGAGTTAGGGGACGAAAGTTCCTTTAAATTTTCTCTGTAGTCCCAACTGGGATTGTCCTGATAAAGGGCCTACATCTAATATATGTGTGTAGCTTAAAGTAAGCATGCATTGAAAATAAAGAAACAGTATCGTTCAAAACAAAAAATTTAAAGGGACTTTCGTCCCCGCAACCATTCGGGGAAGCATACCTTACGGCCCCTGGTACTCTTTTCATTCACATGTTCATGGTAATGCAAAGAGAAAGAAGATTCAAACGAACCAAAAATTCAGTACGTCCCAGAAAACCTTTTTTTTAACTGGAGCATATCTGGTTTTACAGTAGACCACGATGTTTGAGTTGTACATAATGCCCTATTCAATTCACTAATATGGAAAATATTCAACCCTGTTTTGATATTAGGAAATGGCACAAAGTTATTTGCTGGCAGGCCATGTAGCGGCCACCTACCACCGACAACGCATAGCTGGCGGTCAGTCTGGGCTGCATTAGGGTGAATGTCTGGAAGAATGTTCGGAAATTGTTTAAAAAGTTTTTTCCCCCCCCCCCCATGTGGATCTATTGTTTCCTCATATAAAGACAGCGGTTTGTGCTTTGAATCTTGCAGACTGGATTCGCGCTATGATTGAGAATGACGCAACCATAGCGCGAATACAATCTGCCGAAATGTCTACAATATCCACGAAGTACTCCTTTTAGAGTGATCTCATTTTACGTATCCTTGAGGTCGTTGGTCACCGAAGTTCCTTTTAGGGTCTTGAGAACTTGCTCTAGACTATTGTAAGTAGGTTTTTCGGCTAATTGTTGCCACTTATTATGCTTTTTTTCAGCACTAACATTTCTTCTGGTACTCGTCAGTCACCGTGGCTGTCCGAATCGCTGAGTCAGAACGTAGAGTTGGACACGCTACGGTGCCCCTGCTTCGGAGCCGTGAATGGGTTTGCCATTAAGGGCACAACTGTCGTAGCTGCGATCGACATGTGTATGTTGTACTCATATGAGAACGTCTCTTTCCCAATAGGGTCTCGCTCACGTACTTAAGCAGAATTGGGGGAAAATCTCTTGTCGAAGCACTCTACATTCTATATACGGGTAATGACGTTGATTTGCTTCCCGACCGGTCGATTTCAAATTTGTTAGTTTGCGTTTTTTTTTGTGATATCCTTGGAGAAATCTCCAGTCATATCTTACACCTTCCATGGTCCTTTACCGATAGAAATTGTTGTTGTTCTTTCTTGGCATTCCTGAGAAAATATCTTTTTATGGGTTTTGTGGCGTCAGCTAACTTTCTTGCTTGTCTAAGTGATGACCTGCGATATTGGGAATGTTTTTC